ACTCAATTACCCAGTTTTAGTATTTATCAGTTAGATATAGTACTATCAAAGTCTGTCACATAATATATCATATATTTATTACAGTTCTTTGATTTAACCTCATTTTTTATGCCTTCTTAATTATCTGATTTTTAGTCTAAATATATTCCTATAAATTGCTTGGAAATTTCTTTCTGTTAATCCCATAGCATCTCCCATCTGCATGTGTATTAAGGATCCATATTATTTAGATGTTCTTTGAAACCTCCTCTCCCCGTTCATGTGTCACTTTTGCTAGTTGTATTGCACAGGCTTAGAGGTAGACTTCTTCCCTGTTGGTTGGGACATACTTTGTTCTTGCTCCAACAGCTTTGAACATGCTAAAGAACCAGGGGCCACCTCCTTAACAGAATGGTTAGCCAACCTAAAGATCATTTTCCTCTTGGCCCTCCATGCCTCATTCCACTAGTCCAGTAGTACCCACTATTGGGTGACCTCACTGAGTCTGAGTTTCTTCCTAAATATACTCTTATTTCTCCCTGTTTGGGGACTTGATCATATTGCACTAAAGTGGAGGAGAAGATGATTGAGCTCATTTGACACCTTGTGGAAGCAGCACTTCTTGGTGATCTACCACTTGAGACCCACAGCCCTTGCCCACGTACAGTCACTCTGTCCTGCCTCTGAGTAATTAATTCTGCCTCTTGTAGTATTTTACTCAGTGCTTACAGTACAATTTATTTCCAGCCTTTTCTCCAACTTCTCATGTTCATTTTTATTTCTGATGTCTTACTGCGTGATTTCGCAGCACAGTCATTAGGTAATGGGTTAGACAGCCCTGGACCCAGGACCCTTCACTGCCCCACAAAACAAAATGCCCCTCTCCTGACAGGTGTGGTAGACTAGTGTACCCTGGCGCAGCAGCAAGAGAATTTAACATCATTTTCCATAATATTTTTTCAATTTTTGGGAACCCTTCCTATTGATGATTCTTTCATTTCTTAGTTATATGTAGAAGACTCAGAAGCCACAAATATAAACTACTTTCTAGAACTGGTGAAGTAGTAGATTTTGATCTATCAGAAAGAATCCTTTGCCATGATAGTCTCACTATAAGACAAATATTTTCAAATGCATCCCAGGGTTGGAAACCTTAATGAGTTCTAATAACCAGGCAGCCACACTCCAGCAGGGTTCTAATCGACAGAGTAGAAAACAGCAACAAGAAGGCCAGTGTGTCTTTGGGGAGCTGGCATACAGCACAGGACCGGCTGGGTGTCAGGCACCCAGCCAAATAAGTCCACCCAGCAATGTGGTGCCACAGTTGAGCTAGAAGCAGGTGTCCGTCAATGGGTTGCCAGTGGTACGACATCCTCCTCCTCTGAAAGCACCATTATAAATGTCTGTGTAGTTTTAAAAAAATTATAGTAGATGGATACAATACCTTTATTTTATTTTTATGTGGTGCTGAGGATCGAACCCAGTGCCTCACACTTGCTAGGCAAACACTCCACCAGTTGAGCTTAAGCCACAGCCCTGTCTGTGTATTTTTTTTTAATCAAGCAAACTGCTCAACTTTTATCTAGTTTTCAAAAATATCCATGAATCATAGAAGGCTAAGAATCCCTTTTTACTAGATGGACAATAACCTGAACTTCCAAAATGGATAAAATATGTGGTTGGGCATTGATTCAACAAAACTGCTCAAAGGAAAGAGAATTAACACCTCTTGAATGCTAATTGTATACCAGAGACTCTTGGAGATCTTTCCCTTTAAGGTAACAGAGGAAGAATTTGAACCCAAGTCTTGCTCTAAAGCCCACATGCTTCATATACTGCACTACCTCTGTAAAGAATGAAAATGACTAACCATTGAAGATTAGTCAAAAATAAAGATAAGCAATCTTAAACAATGGGGAAATGTGATTTGTTGTCCAAAAATGTGACTTCAAAAAAAAAAAATTAAGAGCTTATTCGTGGAATAGAGATAGGTGATCCAAACCAGATGAGGGTCTCAAGTTCATGGGATGATCCAGGGTGCAGCCTTGAGAAGGCGCAACTCCTCCCCAGCAAAAGCGTCTCAAGAAATGAAGACCATGTCAATGGAACAGTTTTGAGGCCCCACTTCACTGTTCAATCTCTCCTGAGTGAGATCATGTGTTTATGAACAGAAAGATTTGGTTGAACTAATTTAATTCCTCTTTTGCATCTCTGTACTAATTAATGACAGTTGTTTCACTTGTACATTTTATATTAAATTAGGTAAATTCTGCTATATTACCCTTCATCTCTGTTTGGACTTAAGTATTAATTCTTTTCATACAAGCTCTCTTAACAGAGTTAAGAACATATTCCTGCCCACATAACTGATTGCTTAACTAGCCCCCTCCCCCTTCCAGGACTTCCTTCTTTTTGACTGTAAATCCTAAAGAACATTTTGGTCATTGTTTTCTGGGAAATATTAATTGGCAATATTCAGGGAACAAAAATAAATACAAGTTTCTGGAGTTTTCTGTATCCTTTTTTGCCAGTCTATGTTACCTAAAACAATGTGATCATCTATTTGGAGAACTCTGGGGAGGCTGAGCAGGATTAATTCCTGTCCCTGTGTTGCAGTGTAAACAGCTTTTTGCCTGTCTTTTGTCATTAATGATCATGCTGTAGATGTAGCCAGTGCATTGTAAGCCAATCTGTCAAGGCAAATAAACAATTCACCTTGTTAAAATTCCCTAAATCTTGCATTAATAAAACCAAAGTAACCCCCTGAACACTCAAGAGATGTCTTCCTCCATACTGCGGTGATGGATGACATGTCTAAAGATCCTGGAAATTAAGTAGTTCAGGTCATTAAAAGTGTCCCACACTTGTTATTGATTTAATTTATTTTAAAAAGGTGGGGGTGGAGATAAGAATGTGATACCCCCGTTTTTTTTTTAATCTGAAAGCTACCACTTGTATAGATAATTAAAGCTATTGCCCCAGTGAACAGCTCTGTATTTGTTACAACATTAAGCTTTATTATTTAAATAGGTATTATATGTCCTCTGAAACAGACAGATCACTAACAACTTGATAACCATTGCAACTTGTATCCTGGCAAAAAATTCCTTGGAGTTTCATATGTGCGATAATTCCCCGAGCTTCTGAGTACCAGGCACTGAAATAATGACCTCTGGGCATCCCCAAAACCCCTTTGGGTAGGTAAAAATTTAGATGAAGGTCAAGTGATTTAGAGGAAATTAATTGCAAGAGCAATGGGATCATGCTTCTGGACAGAGGTTTATTTTTTTTTATTTCTGAACTTTCCATTTTTGTATTTTTATAATCAGGGAAAGAATATTATAAATAAATATGTGATATATACATAGATATTTACATATATATATATATATATATATATAGCTACATGGGAAAACATTTAAGTATTTTGATTCTATTATTAAACTCAAGTTTGAAATTGTGTGTGTGTGTGTGTGTGTGTGTGCGCGCGCGCGTGCGCACATGGGCGCACATATATACTTGTTCATCACTAGGTTTCTCCACCAGCCCACACTCCTTTGAAACCATAGAAGTCACTTATTTCCCAGTCTCTTATGCAAGAGATGCCCAGTAAATTTTTCATAAATAAAGTAGAATTTCCACTTTTCTTCTCTTTTATTCTTTAAGCTTCCATGGCTACTGCAGACTGTGTAAGAAATAGTGACAGCGCCTACCCTTTAACAGTGCTGGCTCTCCAGATGAGCCAGCCCTCTCTGGAACTGAACAGCAAGAGGGTTGGGCACTAGTAGCTCAGTCTAGCAGGACTGGCAACTGATATAGTTCCTCACTTCATCTATGTGTCCTGAACTGGGCAACAATTCCAAAGCCTTATGAGAAATGGGACAACTTAATATGTAAATTATGAATAAAAATCAAGATATTATGAAGAATTGTATATATGTAAGATACACAGAATTTGACCTGACTTTTTTCTTTTGCTGTGTATCTTATTCATTATCTTACCTGGTTGTTCCTGATTAGCTTTGTGGATGATATTTCAACATCAATTTTCACTGGTCTTTAAACAACATGTGCTTATTGAGAAAAAATTTCCCCATGATAAGTTATAAAAAAAGACTCTTACCAATAATTATTTTAATTTCAGAAGTTATTTTATTTTCTATTTCCTTTCATAATTTTTTAGGGGAAAACGGAGGGGAGATCACAATTTTGAATGCAGTTCACACACTCTTGAAAGATTTTTAAAAAAAAAACATAAATATGAAAATGCACTGTATAATTGTCCATCAGAGTTCTCCTTTAAATTGCATAATTCAAACCTCTGAATACTGACATGCTTATGCCATTATGCCAGCTATTTAACAGAGCTCTTTAAATGATAGAACTCTATAGATTTTTTTCTCAATGTATACACTGATTTACACTTAGCTGGTAAAGTTGTTACTGACCCTTTAAGTGGAGCTCTCCACATAGCAATAAATGTCAGTTGATCCTAGTGCAGAACAGGTGATAGCTGAGGGTTTTGACTAAATCTTCCAGTTAGAAAAACTATTTACGTATTCCTATATAGTAATGGTCCCTTGTGGGGAGATTTTATACACACACACACGCACACATCAGACCACTTATCACTCAGTAGGGAATATTTAATGACATATCTTGGTGGGATTATTGATGTGCTTAGAGTTTGAAATATTCACTCCAGATTAGAATCTCCATGAAGCCAGGGACTATATGTAGCAGCTTTCCCACTGCCTTGTCCCTTGATCGACATGTGAAGCGTAGGAGGGGCTCTGTGAATGCCAGCTGAATGAATAAATTACAGCATTTGTCAGCGCTGCATAGCACATGTGTCAGCCTGAATTCTTGGTGGGCAAAATGGGGACCACTTTTCCTATTGATTGTGAGAATGTTGCTGGTAAGGACTTTGATGGACGGTTATGACTTTTTGATATAGTTCCTTTGATTGATTGCCTAGCAAACTTCACTTCAGTTTCTAATTCTGTTTTCTGCTTCCACAGGCTGTCATTTTAGAAAATGAAGAACTTCCCAAACTCTTTCTTGATTTCCTAAATGTGAGACACTTGCCCTCTCTACCAAAGGCAGAAAGTTGTGGGTAAGAACTGTTGTGTACATACCAGATGTATATTTTAAGTTACTCTTCAGTAATTCATTGGCCTAAAAAATATCCCAGAGTGGTGCCCAAGGAGAAGGCTGGCTTTACCCAATCTTTCGGTTGGGACAGCACTTGCTCGCCCCCTGCTTGTAGTTAGAGGAATTCCCTCCAAGTCCCCATCTTGCTGCCAAATGGCCAAGGCTTACAAACTCATGTTTAGATGTAAGGAACTGACCTTTTAAATTATGCTGTTACATAGAGGGATGGGTACATGATGGGGAATTATGAATCTAGATGGTCCATTTAGGGACAGTTTATTAACTTTTAGATGCTTGAACCAAGCCCATATCCACCTGGTGTGCATCTTCATATCATTTTAAAGCTCTAAAGACACTAGTGTGATCCCTAATTTTACAGTTGTGCAAACACAAATGCAGGAATTAAGTGCCTTTCCCAAGATCTCGCTCTGTACTGGTAGAGCCCAGGCCTTCCAGCGCGAGCCCTTTTTCTCTACAGTTCTTTCTTCACTGCTCCCTCTCCCTTGGGAACTTCTAATGGCTGGGTTGCAGACCCTAGTCCGTGTCCCTGAAGGATTGAGAGGCTTGATATCACCATCAGTTTAGAAAGGCTGCAGAATTAATTCTGAAACAAGCCACTTGCCCTGCTGTGGACACATGAATGGGGCCGAGCTAACCTCAGAAGGCCGTCAGAACAAATACATTTACAGAGAAATGAGTCAGCAGGGAAAGGGTTTTGCCCATTTTTCACTGCCTCCAGGCCCACCTGAAAGGAGCCACACCAATTGCATGATGATCAAGCTCCCACACCCCACGTGTTGTTAAGCCCCAGCCGTCTGCTGATGGGAGCTGCACACACCTGTCATAGCTCCTCACCAGAACTACTTCCTCAGGGCCACTTGCCACTTGCCCCAGCACCAGAATTGTATACCACACGTATCAAATAACCTGCCATTGGTGTGTTCAGTTCCAACCTGTGTGCCTGTGTTTACTGGAGGTTAAGTTCATATATGTGTGACATTAGCAATGACAGTCAATGAAATCTCATCATTACATAAGCCCCAAAGTAGTAATAAAATCTTGGGATTTCATGAGTGATCTTCAGGAAAATAGAAATACAAGAATCCTCTGATATTAGGATTCTTTTTTTTAATACTTATATTTTAGTTATAGGTGGACACAATATCTTTATTTTATATTTACATGGTGCTGAGGATTGAACCCAGTGCCCCACACATACTAGGCAAGTGCTCTTCCACTGAGCCACACCCCAGCCCCTAATCTTAAGATTCTTTAGGATGAGTCATCAGCCATGCTGTGTCTCAGTATGAACTCTAAACTCACAACTTTTTTACAGTCTCCCAATTTAGTGCTCTAAGAATACTGGCCATTTTTGCCTATGTTGGTATAAACACTGACCCAGCTTATTTGGTCTTTTTCTTTTTCTTTTCAAAAAAAATTTTAGATCTTTTGATGAGACAGAATCTGAAGAGTCAAGGTAAGAACTCATACTAGTCAATCAAGAGTTATTCAGGGGAAGAAAAAGACTGTGGTCTTGTTAAATGTATAATTATACATGATATAATTGTTTAAAGTTGTGTTTTTCTTGAAAGCCTTTGTTAATTTTAAGATTATAAATATTTGATAGGGAGTTACAGGAGTGACCAGTTATAATTAGAGTGAATGATTACGAGACTGACATTGTTTTGTACAAGTAATAAGAATACTGTTTTATCTATGACCATATTACAAGATTTTTAAGAAAATAATTTTCAGCAATGATGCATTGTGTAGATTATGTATCTGCTTCTGATTCCACAAAAAAATGTTTAGCAGATGAGCACGGTGCCAGTTCATTCCCTGCGTTTGCTATTATTCACCCACATCGCAAGATACATAAACCCTGAGCTATCCCCACACAGCAGTTTGATCCCCTCAAAGCTAGTTTGTAGTGTTTTCTGTTTACCGTCGTCCCCTGATGCTGACATGCCTGTTCTTGACCTTTCCAGCAAACTGTCCCACCAGCCGGTGCTGCTGTTCCTCAGGGATCCATACGTCTTGCCTGCAGCCAGCGGTAATCAAACCTGTCATCTGCTAACAGCTCTTTACTGATCTGACCCTGCACCACATAAACCACGTTTTTAATACAGGTCTAACAGAGTGACATTGGTCCAGGGCTTAATAATCTGCCAATAAACCAGTGCTCTTGGTGTAAGAGACATTTAGAATTTTAATTGGGGCCGGCCTTTTAGGAGGAAATGTAATTTTTCTTTCTTTCTTACAAGGCTATTTTGAATTAGAACAAGAAGGGGTAAGGAGGAAAGATATTTATTGTCTTTAATTTTTTTTGGGGGGGGGATGGTATTATTTGGGCATCTACTTGTTTTTATCCAGAAGCAATGGGTGGTTCAAATTCAATACTGTCACCCCTTTTAAAACTGTTTTCCAAAAGAGCTGCGTGCGTGCATGCATGCATGCATGCGTGTGTGTGTGTGTGTGTGTGTGTGTGTGTGTGTGTGTGTGTATTGCAAGGGTAGCTCTATTCCCATTTAGATTGAAGCATCTTTGGTGGTTGAATATATATTTTTTAAAATTATCATTTTGAATGAAATTAATTAATTTAAGTATAACAGTAATCATCCTTTTAGCCTGAGTCCTTTCTCTATACTACAAAATTCAAATTCCCCGGAGTCCCTCTCAAAGTGTTCCCTTACACAGGTCCCTATGAGTACCTTCTGAGACATTAACTCGTTTTTTTTTAGCAACCTTACAAAATAGGCAGGGTAGGTAGTATCATTGGCCCAACCAGAAAACCAGAACTCAGGAAAGTCCCAACTTGCCCAGTCAGTCTCAGGGGGTTGATGGACGTATTCCTTGTTGTCTGAGTTTGCCTTCTGCACTTTTTGCATAAAGTGAATTTTCAGCCATTGTTTCTGACAGTCACAAGATAGCACACCAACTAGATAGCACTAGATAAATGATCTATTGAAAGCAGCCCTTGTTTCTGACAAGAAAACCTTATCACCAGCAAGAGAAAGGGGACTGCTGTCTGTAGCAAGGGAGCCCATCCTCAGATCACCCGCTTGGCTGTCAGCCGAAGGAAAGGTGGCCGGAACATAGCCCTGCTCTGTTGAGCGACCCCTCAGCACCTTGATCAGATCTGCCTTGATGTAAAGACTAGTCTCACAATGGTTTTTTGTTGTTGTTTACAAAATATTTTCAGTGAGGAATAACTGCTTCTCTTAAGTTCTTCATGTTTAACAAATATGCATGTTATATTAGTAGATGTTATGTTAAATGTTATATTTAGCAAATATTCTTTTTTTATGTTTTTAGTTGTAGATGGACACAATACCTTTATTTTATTTATTTATTTTTACGTGTTGTTGAGGATCCAGTGCCTCACACATGCTAGGCAAGCACCCTGCCACTGAGCTCCAGCAAATATTCTTAATGCAACCTAATCTAGATTAAAGAGGGAGTGTTTTGTAAAATATTATTATCTTAAAAATAACCACATAAGTACTTTTTGTAGATATTGTTCTTGTTCACATATTGCACGAATCTAACCTAAATTCCTGCAAAAATATAGAGAGTGGAGTGATCACTGAGGAAAAGAATAGCCAGGATATAATGGAAGAGGGAAGCTACTTTATGACCCTTTCATTATTAAACAGCACCTACTATATGCTGTACACCTGACTAGACAACCAAGAACAGGAAGAACCTTCTGGAAGAGTAAATGGAAATAATAGGTTTAGTGGTTACATGGAACCTGGTATAGGAGGGCCAGTCATCACATCTATTTTCTTGGATTTTGTCCAACCTAGTTTCATAAATTAGATTCCTGTTACCTTAGAAAGTGTCATACTAATGACATGTTCTTGCAAATCTTTACTTAACTTGAAGAGAAACTTTACTTTGCATCACATTCTTATATTATGATGCCTCTTAGCAAGATGTTGAGTTTATTCCAGAGCATGCTGAATATGAAAATATCTTTGGAGATAACTGACCCTCCAAAAGCCAGAGGAGTGTCTGTTTTTAAAGTTCAGATATTTGAACGTTATCTTCTCATAACATGCTAATAGCTTTCAACATCAGAAGTCAAAAGAGTGCCCTGTATAATGGATTAAAAACCATAAGCCTTTTGGTCTTCATTTTGATTTTTCTAGGAAATTCAAAACAACTCTTTCCAAGGTCCCCTGTGACCTGAGTGTGGCCAAACTCTCTGGACAATTTTCATTCTTCATCTTGCTTGGCTTTTCATCAGCTTTAGATGTTTCATGTTCTTTCCATCAAACACTGTCTCCCCTCGGCTTTCTGCTTTTCTTCAGACCTCTGGCAGCTCGATGGAGGCTATACTGGGCTTCTCTTCTTACTGTGCTTTCTTTTGAATAATCTTCTCTTTGCTCATGGCTTTGTTTACCCCATGTGTGCAACTGAGGCATGGTACTGTATTTGCATCCAACACAAACTCTGACTATGCTTTGCAAGGCCCCTGTAGTCTGCCCTAGTCTATGGGTCTCCTGAGACCTTGTCCAACACTCTGTCCCCCCAATCCTAGAAATGTTTCTGGGAATCAAATGTGCTAACCTTTCCTCCCCAGGTACCTGATGCCTCTTCCTCCTTCAGCCTTTGGGTCTGCACACATGCCTCATCTCCCAGGCCTCCTGATAAACATCACAGCTTTAGGGGCCTTTGGCAACACGCTCACTAGAGCTGCCTGCTAGAGTCCCTCCTCCACTCATTCATATTTTTTTTTAAGTTCACAATAAATGTTTATTAAGTAAATGAAAACCAACAAAAATCACAACAAACCTTACCCCAAATTATATTTCTTCTCATTGCCTCTCAGTGGGAAACAAGGATTAGGACAGTTTTCTGAGTAATTTAAGCAATAACGGATGTTGTATTAATACTGATGGATAAAACAAAGTACATAGCCCTGTGTGTGGCACACAATAAGTACCAGCTATTACTACATACTTACGTACTTTCAAATTACTGGACATAAAAGTAAATAACAGTCCTGCCCATGCCATGGATCATATATGCCATTGGGGTGGCAAACAAATCACCAGACATTTTATCATGTGTATAGTGAAGCCAAAGCCCAGAGTTTAAGTAGAGTAGAACAAATGAAAAAGAAAGAGGGCCATGGGGAAGCCCCAACTATCATATCATGGATCACAAGTTGGTAGACTCAACCTTGTTATAAAATCCCTCTATCCCATTCACTTTCGGGTATTTTTGGAGGGGATATCAGGGACTGAACTCAGGGGCACTCAACCACTGAGCCACATCCCCAGCCCTATTTTGTGTTTTATTTAGCAACAGGGTCTCACTGAGTTGCTTAGCATCTCGCTTTTGCTGAGGCTGGCTTTGAACTTGAGATCCTCCTGCCTCAGCCTCCCCAACCACTGGGATTACACGCGTGTGCCACTGCCGTTCACTTTTTATCAGAGCATCCCTTTTGCATCCTTGAGTAATGGTCACAAACCACCTGTCCTGCCTCTCCCACCACCACCACCCTCATGCACCTTCTAAGTCCCCAGTGTCTTGCACATTCTCAGCTGTGAGTGGACAGTAAGTGTAAGTAAGGCCTTAGCCTTTGCTGTTCCCTCTGCTGGGGATGCTGGCTCCTAAATACCCTGATAGCTGGATCCTGCCACTTCATCCAGGTCTTTCCTCAGAGAGCCCCTTCACATGAAGCCCTCCCCTCTCTCCATCCCCAGCCTCGTTAGCTGCCCTGCTAGGCTTTCTTTTTTGTCCTTGAGCTACTGCCTGGCATATTAATGGTGCTATAGAGTACTCATAGTATTTAGTGTTGTTTTCTTTGTCTTTTTGCTGAACTTAGATGAATCGATTTAAGCTAAATGGATCTTCAAGTAAACTTTTAGATTTGGAACGGTAGAGGATAAAGGCACATGTGCCATTTACATGTATATGTCCCATTTGGGCATATTATTGAAAATCAATCAATAGCTCTGTTTTTGCTATTAGTATTTCTAATATTTTTATATAAGAGATACATTTTAAGATGTATTTTGTTTTATTTGTTCATTTGCTTGCCTCTGCATCTAGCATGTAAGTTACGTTGCATGGGCAGGGACTGTTCTTCACTTAATGATCATCAGATTCACTCCCACTCTGGTCCCCCTCCACTGTCTGGGTACATAAGCCAGAAACCCAGAGTCATCCCTCACTGCTCACATCTGATCCATCACCAGGTCATTTCCTTCATTCTCTAGAATCCAGCCTCTTTTCTGTATCATACACCATGATCCTCCAGAAACGGAGCTGATTTCCTTGTGTCTGCTTTGAACTAGCTTCAATTCATTCTCCGAGTGGCAGCCAAAGTCATTTTTTCAAAACACAATTTGATCCTGTCTCACTCTGCTTAAAATCCTTCAATAGCTTCTCATTATATTTCAGATAAAGGCAGAATTGCTGTCGATTCTTCCCAGGCATGACTTGGCACCCTCTGCCATCTGGCCTCCTCATGCCCGCTCCCCTTCCTGCCTATCTTCCCGTTAGATCTCTGAACCTTCAGGCCCCCTCTTGCTGCAGACTTTCCCATCAACTTGCTCTGCCTCAAATTCCCCTGCTCGTCCTTGCCGAGAGCCTTCTCTCCCTGATGAAGCCCAGTCTCCTTGTACATGGCTCTAGGTGGTAGGCACCCTATAGAGCATTCGTCAGTAAACATTAACTATGGATTAATAAGTAGACATTATTTCTTTGTCTCAGACCACTTAACTTTCTTACAGGTAAGTGCAGGGTTATAGCATAGTTTCTGGATATAATTATGTACAGATTGAAATTTAGAACTTAAGCATCTAAAGCATAAGACAGATTGATTTCCTCTCAAGCAACCCATTTGTGTTTCACCTGCAATGACAACTGGAATTTGGTATACCATACAGTGTGCCTCTGAGTCTCCTTTATATATCATACAGAAAAAGAAGTGGCTGATTTTCAAGTTTGACAGGATGGCTATTGTCAGATATTTGCCTTCTTAGGCTAGTAAGAAAGGCCCCCATCTTGCTGCTCTCTAGAAACTTGTGTAATAGAACAAGCATACTCAAAACAACTTGGACTAAAATGCTGCTGTAAACCACAATGGAAAAACTGCAGCGAAGTATTCCCAGTAGAAATCTTGGAATTCCTTCAAGTATATTGAGATTTTGTTAGAAATTGAATTGCCAGAGTAATCCATCTTCCTAGTGAGAAAACATTCAGATAAAGAGCTGGGGCCTAGCAGCATTAACCATTAGAACATCCCTTAAATCAATAAGCTACAAATCTGGCCGCACATTCCTGCAGCATCTGGTGGTACATGAAAGTGGCTTCCGGCCGAAGCTGCATGAATGATTGCGCATCCTGAACCAGGGCAAACTGCAAGACGCTGCAGATTCCTAGGTTGTGGTGGCCTTACCTTGTTAAATTCTGCAAATGCAATTATATTTTTATGCAAATAAGAAAAGCTATTTTCCTTTTGTTTTTCAGATTTTCCAAATGTGGTTATTGAAGGAGTTCTCCATGGGATATTTTACCCTCATCTGCAGCCCAGGTAGAAATCCTACTTGGCTCAAAGAAGCTGAAGCAAGTTTTCAAAGTCATAGTCAAGGAAATCGATATCTACCAAATTAACCTAAACTCTATGGCATAACAGCTCTAGCTAGTGGTAAAATCCACAGTCCCAGCTTAATTCAGGGCAGGGACGTTTCCATTAGAATGGTGCTTTTAAAAATAGAAACTGTACCAGGGTGGTGGTCAGGTTAAGGCTGAGTGTTTAAGAAGTAGAAGTAGCTGCCAACTTAAAAACCCATCAAAGGAGGTCACGGTAGATTGCTGGGAGCACAGAGTGTCGCCGAAGTTACTCTCTGCTTCAGTCGCACCATTTACTAATTGAACATCATATCCTGAATCATCCTGAGACTGATCAGCTTTGGTGGATTTTTGTTCAGATCTCATGACACACTAATCTTTTCACCCTGCAATTTTCTTGGCCGGTGATTGTACATTCGGAAGTGCTGGCACCAGAAGAACGTCACAGATACACACTGTGCTGTGAGGAAGGAACCAAACTGGAAATTAAATTTTATTGACAGTATTATGACATTTAAAAATCATGGCATTTTAATTTATACTACAGTGGAGTTATATCCCGTCCCAGAAGTGAACTTCTAACAGCAGTGCCTAAGAGGAAATGGCGGGTTAGGACTACCCTTGAAAGCCCTTTAAAAAGGTACCATATTGGAAGTCTGTACACCCACCCTATCAAGTCTCTTCTCCAGTGTTGGAAGATAAGAATGTTCCTTTGAAGACCAAATTTCATTGATGGTGGTGGTTTGGGGGCAATTGTGTTATAAAAAGCACATTCTTTTAAACACTAGAACCACACTGAGCCCTACAAGATGCTTGCTGGGTAAGAGACAGATGACTGAAGCAAGAGCAGTACTGGTCCAGGTTCACTTGGGGGGCGTGCATTCAAGTTAGTGGCATTGTCACAGGGCTTCTTGTTATTTTCCTTGCGGGTTCCTCTTCGCTGACCTCATGTAGTCAGTTAAATGTGTTTCTGATGTAACTCCACTGTATGTCGAACATTCATATTTTGAGTAGCAAAGGATAGAAGCATATATGCTACCTGTATGTGTGTGCTGTACATGGGCATTCATCAAAAACTAATAGCTAGCCTATTGTGGTTATTAGCTTTAATAAATTTCTGTGTGAGAGAAAAATATTCAAGATTGAAACTAATAACTACATCATGGTGTTTGATTAGGATCTAAATATGTAAGTTTAAAGCCTACTGCAAACTTAAAAATGTTTTGTGGTAAATTATGTCATTACATGTTGGAAATAAGCAAAAACTAAGTAATCACGTGTCATCAACCAAAAATAACTGAATTGTCAAGTATTGGATTTATTTTTTAAATGTTTTTATGTTACTAGCTATTTTGAGTTAAATAAAAACAAAGAATAAGAAATATTCTAATTTATCTTCTGCTTCTAGCACTTTATTAGAAACAGATTGTGTCTGTCTCTACACATAAGCACTTGCACACAAACAAAACTTCTCATTCACATAGGCATTTATTTCTAATCTGATAACGTATGAAATTACCTCATCTATTGTTAAGCCAATAGGCACTCATTGATGATTTACCAAGATAATAAGAGTTTTTAAAATACAGACCAAACATTATGCGCTGCTCAAGAAATATTTTGAGAATTAAAGTTTCTTAGTGATGTCATTCATTTTTATATTTAAATTTTTAGTATATAATTTTAACAAGAGTCCTTACAGGAACTAGAAACCACTGTATGTCTTTTAAGCAAACAGAGCTGTATAGAGGAAACTGAATGATTGCAGAATCTTTTGGAAGAATGAGAGGTGTGGACTCCTCCTGGTGAGTGTCCAGGAACGCCTTCGAGAAAGTCTGAGCAACCTTCAGCACCAACCTGCCAGGGGAGCGATAACCTGTACCTTAAGCGGGAACTCTGGGAATCAGGAGGCTGCTGGAAGTGGGGGGCAGAAATTGAGATGAAAAACAGCACTGGTGCTACAATCCAGGGATCAGCAAATCCAATTAGGAAGTACCTATAATCACCATTACTGCCTCACAGCAGCACCCAAGAGGCTAGGCACTGGGCACTAGAACGAAGAGTCCAGCTGCCACACCTACACTGCAGTTGCTTCTCAACCCTTGCTGGCTGGCAACTACAGCCCAAAGCAGCAGGAAGATGGTACTCACCCACCTCCATATTCCACTCCATTTCTCATCAAAGTACATCCAGTGTGCAGAACATTACTCTCACTCCCAACTCCAACAGAGTCTGGGAAAGAGCTGTCAGCCTTCTGGACAATTCAGCTCAGGAAGGCATCTTGGAAAGATGATTGAATATATTTCCATGGTTGAAATTTTAATTAAAAATTTAAAGGATAGATAAAACAGAAATTACTCTCCCATCCCAACTCTCATATCTAAGTTCCCTCCCCTAAGCAGTACTCTATTAAAAGTTTGAGGGATATTTCATCCACATGCAAGCAAATATTTTATATTTCTATATTCTACCTTCCCTATTTTTATAACAATGGCAGCATATAATATCTGTTTTCATCTGATATATCTTGGCAGTCTTTCATGTCAGTACCTAAAATGCTTCTCTCTTCTTTTTACAGTTGCATGGATCTGCTACAGTTAATATAACCAGTACCATATTAATAGATTTGTTTTAATTTTTTATTTTAAAAAGTCATAAACTGGGCTGGGGCTGGTGCTCAGCAGTAGCACATTTGCCTGGCATGTGTGAGGCCCTGGTTTCGATTCTCAGCACCGCATATAAATAAATAAAAAAAAGGTCTATCAACAACTAAAAAATATTAAAAGAAAAATCATAAACTAACTTTCTGTATATGTATATAAACATATATGTATATTCATGGATTAATAGTTTTGATTAAATAATTATAAACAACAAAAACTTCAAAAATCAGACTATCAGATTGTAAATGCACATTTATATTTAATAATATCTCACTCTTGGGTTTAATTGGACATGGCTGCCCCATGTCACTGTGCAGACTGTGCACTATGTTAAAAAGAACTCTAGCATGCTCCTTGGGATGGCTGCTATTTAAAAAAAAAAAAAAGCAGAAAATAGCAAATGTTTACAAGGATGTGGAGAAAATAGAGCCCAAAAAGTAAAGTAAAATGGTTGCATTTTCAAAAAAAAAATTATTTTTGGTACTGGGGATTGAACCCAGAAGAACTTTACCATGGAGCCACCTCCCCAGCCCTTTTTTATTTCTTATTTTGAGAAGGAGTCTCACTAAGTTGCTTAGGGCCTCACTTAGTTGCTGAGGCTGACCTGGAACTTGAGATCCTCCCGCCTCAGCCTGGTGAGTCTCTGGGATCACAGGCATGCACCACCACACCTGGCTTCTTCAAAAAAAATAACAAATTATCATGTGTAGGGCACGTCACATCAGAGAAATTGTAACCTATGATGGAGAAAAGGAAACCTAACTTGGAGACTGATGCTCACTTCCTGGTCTTGGGGCTGCACGTGGCTAAGATGGCACCTGGTGATCAGCCAGAATGCATTACCGTGGGTTGTGAGGAAAAATCGGACCACCTCTAGGATAGGCTCAGAGCCTTCCGCCTTTGTGGACAGCTCGTGTCACCCCTTACTGCTTGTAAAATGGATGTACACGTGAACTCTCCTCACCCTGCTGACCTTTATCCTGATGGCTCCTGTGCCTTATATTAGCTGTGTGTGCTTCCTCAATAAAGGAGCTCCAGCCTTGACTGGTCTCCCTGACCCATCTGATTGTCCTCGGGCGAGGGAGGGCTGGGTGCTGGTGGTCAGTCGGCCCTCTCCTTTCTTGGCTCGTCCTGATCAGGGCGTGCTCTCCCCATCTCTCCTGCAGGTCAGGAGGGAACGAGAACTAAAAACCCCGACAATCATGGATCCAGTAATTCCACCTCTGGATTTATGCCCCCAAAAAGTGAAAGCAGGAGGGGGCTGCCGCTGTAGCTCAGTGGCAGAGTGCTTGCCTCACACGTGTGAGGCACTGGGTTCGATCCTCAGCACCACATAAAAATAAATAAAAAAAGATATTGTGTTCATCTAAAACCAAAAAACAAAGAAAAAAGTGAAAGCAGAAATTAAAACAGATGTTTGTGCACTTATATTCATAGCAGCATTATTCACAATAACCAACAGCTGTAAACAACTATCAATGAAAGAATGAATAAAGAGGAAGTAAATTCTGATAATGTGCTATGTGGAGGAACCCTAAAGACATATGCTAAGCGAAATATGCCACAAGAAGACAAATACTACACGTTTCCATTTACATGAGCTTCCTAGAATAGTCAAAAAGTTGGATGATTGTGGGGGCTGCAGAAAGAGAGAAAAAGAGAATTTGTATTTAACAGGTTTCAGTTGGAAAAGATGACAGGGTTCTAGAGATGGATGGTGATAATGGTTATATAAGAATGCGAATGACTTCACACCACAGTGCTGTACACTAAAAATGATTAAAATAATAACTTTTGGTTATGTATGCTTTAGTTCCATTTAGAAAAAAAAAATGAAGTAGGGTTTTGATTGAGTACAGGCTTGGTGAAGAAGGACCCAGTAATGGATTAGTGTTTTCTGCCCTGGGTGCAGGAAGAGTCTTGGCACTCACACCAGTTGTTAATCCCATATCCTGGGCAACTTTTAAGGCTCTAAACCAGCAGTTCTAAACTAGAATTGTGCCTTAGAATCATTTAGGATTATGAATCAATAAATCTGAGCTGAGGCCTGTGCTTGGGTAGTTAGAAACACTGCTCAGTTGATTCTGACACACAGTTATGTTAAAAACCACCATCTGAGGCAGACAGTTTATGATCTACCCTTTAGCAACTTGAGTGTTTTATGCCTTCTTCCTTTTCCTCCCTTTCTTCTCCTACATTTTTTTTTTTTTTTGAGGCAAGGTCTTGTGAGTTGCCCAGGCTGGTCTCTGCTTCATGGGCTCAAGGCCTTCTCTCCTCTCAGTCTCCTTAGTAACGGCGTTACAGGTGTACACACTGTGTCCAGCTCCTGATTAATTATTGACTTTGATAATTCTTTCCGAATCCATTACCAAAAGAACACCTCTTCCCTCTTGGGATATTACATGTGGCCACAAGAAAGGACTCTGAAAAAAAGCAGGAAGGCTGACAAATTTGAGAATTAGTCTCATTCGGCATGCCATACACAGTAGGAAAGTTAGACCTTCATTTATTCATTCAATGAAACACATTTGAGTTTCTTCACTGGATTAAGGGAGTATGGTAAAAATGTAAAGAATAGAGACATAATCCTTATTTTTCTGGAATTTTCAGTCATTAACTAGAAGTGTCTTCCATTTTTTTTCCGTTTCACTGAATTGGATATAAAATTCAGTTTAATCCAATCTGTTACCTCTCCTTGGAAGTAATCATCATCATCTTGGCTTTGTTTTGGTTTTTATCTTTGATGATAATCATAGTTTTTTTTTTTTACTTCAGCAAAAGAAGCCCAGGAAGGTAGCAGCCACTAACTCCAAATCTACAACATTTGTTTTCTGTCCATGCAGAAATATACTGATAGACTGGATTCTGAGGAAGGTGAAGCAGCATTTATTTTCATGTAAAGTGGAGGAGGTCTGGGTAACCGTGTTAAGTCATTGGAGTGTACGTTATTCACTAGAGAAGAATGATTGTTTTGTGGTCTAAGAGTGTGATTGTAATCTGATCTATAAAATGTGAACCATTTTCTGTCTTCATGCCTAACCACAGTTACGGTGACATCAGTGATGTCCCTAGCTATGATATTCTGTGTCATTTAGCTCCTCCTGTGTACTGAGCTTCTCCTGGAGTCAGAGGTTGTTGAACTAGGGTTTGGCATATTTTATTCCATTAGGTGCTTTATGAAGTAGGTTTTTAGTATACTGATTTTATTAGAGAAGAGATCAAAGATCAGAGATTCATAGTAATAAAAAGTAGCTAATATGATAGAGCACTAATCTAGACCAAGAGGCCTTGGGCTGCTGGGCACAGTGGCACATACTTGTAATCCCAGTGACTTGAGAGGCTAAGGCACTAGGATAATGAGTTCAAGACCAGCCTCAGCAACTTAGCGAAGCCCTATCAATTCAGTGAGACCCTGTCTCTAAATAAAATATAAAAAGGCTGGGGATGTAGCTCAGTGGTAAAGCACCCCTGGGTTCAATCCCATTTACTACCACCCCCCTGCAAAATGCCCTAGGCCAAATCCTATTCACAGATTTTGTCATTGAAGCCTCACACATTTTTGGTGATTTCCTCATGCTACAGTGAGAAAAAGCTATAGCTTGACCAAGGCCATTGGTTAATAAAGTGATCAGGATCTGAACCTTTTTTTCTACAAAGCTTGGGCTAATCTACTCCCCAATGAACTTCACATCAAAGTACAAGAGGTGTCTGAATTTATGTGCATTTTAATC